CGCCTTCCCTTAGACTAGTCAACGCCTCCCCTTAGACTAGTCCACGCCTCAGTTTGGAAAACGCTGGTATAGAGTTGGTGGGTTGGTTAGAATTTAAACAATTAAAAACGTTTTTTTAAAAAATAAATCGTTTCTATTTATATTACATATTAATTTATCACATCACACGTTGATTTTAACAAAGACTTTCGGCCTTTGGAACACTTTGATACCCTCGTCGATCTTCTTGAGCTCCTCCTCGAGCTCCATCTTACGCCTCTGCATGCGCAACGTGTCGCTCCGCACCGGCATCGAATTCAGCTCCTGTATCTTATCCGCGTAACCTAAATCAGACACAATCAATTAGTATATCTTTTATATGATGATGTGCTATGACTGACTCTCCCTGAGCACTCGCAGAGTCTCCTTTCGCTCGTCCTCTGGTAGCAGGACGTGTCCCGCCGGACAGTCGACGTCTCCGACGTCGTCATTGGATGAGCCCTCCTTCTTCTGCTTAATGTACTTGGGAACCACGCCCTTCTTGTAAGTGGGCGGCGCCTTCGTCGGATCCGTTTGACTGTCCTTCTTCGACTGACACTTGGAGCGTACGCTGTGCACGTTCTGCTTCACGTAATCCAGCTTCGGCTCTGGACTCAACCTCTCGTCGTTCAGCACGACGTGATTGGTGTCCCCGTAGCCCTGATCATTCTTCTTCTTCCTGTTATCCTTCTTATGCCTATGCGGTGAATGCGTGACAGAGTTCGAAGCGTACTTGATCACCCCCGTCGAGTATATAGTATGTATACTATCCGTCATCGACTCAGTCTGTATACCTCTGTGCACGATCTTCTCATCCTGCGATATCAACTTTTAATATGTAAGCAAAAAAAATCAACATAAATCAGCGAACCTCAACATTGTTATCCCATGCTTTCAATGGTTTAATCTCCAACTTCTGTATGCCAGGTTTCTTTACAGTCAGCCCCTTAGAATCGGCCACCTTCAAACACACGTTCGTCTTTGACTGCGAGACTTTAGGGATGGGCGTTTTATTCAGGATCTTCGGTTCAGACTCCACATGATGATTATGGTTACTTTCCTCCTGTATCAGCTTGATCCTCCTCATGTTCTCCTTGATGAAATTCTTCCTGTGCACAACCTCTGCCGAAAGAAACAATCAATCAATCAAATCATCAAATATATATATATCGATAGCACTCACTACGCTCTGGAAAGATCCCTCTGAGAGTTGTTGGTGGATGCATATTGATGAACGGAAACCTTTGCAAATGTACACCAAATGTAGTTTTCTTTAATTTTCTTTCAGTTACTGATGAGAGGACTCGACTGAGAAATTTTTCACAGGCGCACCTCTGCGTCCCCCATTTATGACGAAAAAAAAAAAAATTAAGAAAAGTTACAGAAACGAAATGTTACACATATGAACGACAAAGTCAAATTTTTTTGCTCGTCAAATCTAATGCACCCCCGCCGTTTATTTTTGTTTTGAAGATCGCCATCGCTTAGCAACAGAAACTCAACAATTTCAGGATTTTTGAGGTTAGATACGATGCTGCCCCCACAAGAGAACAAACGATAAAGCAGTGTTTTTATATTTCATTGATTTTCTCGAAAACTATAATACATAGAATTAATCCAAAAGATGCATATAAGAGCTGAATGTTTGCGGAATGTAACGTA